TGCTCATTATCGGTGTAATATCTCCAACATCGTGCGTCAATAAAACGTGGGATGTTTCGTTCGAAAAACATCAAAAAGTTACAAAGCTTAAGTGCTTAACAAGGAAGCACTGGAAACGGAGGTCAAGGCTCAGGCCTTCATAACTTTTGCAATGATTCAAATTAAAATTGGATGAGTAGATAGCCAATGATGGGTTTCCATTCATTGGTGCAAACCTTCAAACTAGTGATATTGTCATTGGAAAGTATGAAGATTCGGTTGATGCAAAATCAAGCTAAAGCCCCGTTGAAAAAGACATGGTTCAGAAACTAGTGCAATCTGCTAATGACGGTGGGAATAGGAAATAGGAAAGGGGTGCTATGCATAAAAATTGCAAGAATCGGGTCAATGAAGAGACAAACCTTGGTGGCATAAGCTTTATCCCCATTTTCGTTAATGTAAAATTGGAGATACATCCTTACTGGTACTCTTCCTGCATCATAGTAAAAACAATCTTCAAATGAAGTATTGAGGAAAACTTAAGGATTGTTCTCTTCGTATTTTAGTTTTGAGTTTTGAATATATTTTGCGTTTTTTATTTTGAGTGTTCATTTTGAAATTGTTGGAAATGTGTTCTTTTTGTCATTTTGAAAAATTATTTTCAAAAATAAAAATTTGGAAAACTTATTCTCTTCTTCCCATCTCTCTCATCTCTCTCTCTCTCTCTCTCTCTCTTCTTCCCCTTATCTCTGTTGTCTTCCTCGCAAGGCTATCGGCGCTGAAGACCATGACGAAGCTGTAGCGACGAGCGGCACTCCCTGCGATCGTCGGCTTCTTCGTCTCTTTTTTTTATGCGGTGGTTGGATGCAGCGTTGCCGGCTTCTTTTGCTGTTGTGGCTGTGGCCGTGGCTGTGGTTTTGGGTTGTGACATCGGCGGCTTCTTCTGTTGTGGTTGGGTTGCGACGTCGCTGACTTCTTCTGCTATTGTGGTTGTGGCGATGGTGGTGGTTTTAGGTCGCGACGTCGTCACAGTGGTTTTGACTATGTGGCAGCGGTGGTATGGTGCAGGCGGCGATGACGGTGGTTTTTGTTGGTGGCGTAACGAAAACAACCAAAACATGTTTTGAAAATTTTGGCTTGATTTTAAAACGACATTTTTGACGTTTTCGGTTTTCTTTGTAAATTTTAAACTCGTTTTTGAAAATAGGTAAGTAAACGTGTTTTCACCGTTTTGAAAAATCGAAAATAGAAAATATGATGAAAACATCAAAGAGAACAAACCCTTAATAATCCAATAGAATAAAAAACGCAAACCCATGCCTTCAATACACAAATACCAATGATTTAATTCACCTTTAACCCTAAAAACCTAATCGAAAAACCCTAATGGGGTTGTGAATATAATTTTTTTCCAAGAAAATAGAAATTAAAGAATATAAATATTTTACCGAGGCTCTATGGTTTGAGTCATAAACTATGCACAAGTTATAAATCGAGAATATGAACACAAGGAACAATAGATTCTTAATTTGGGTTGAGGGGTTTCTCTCTCTGTGTGTGTGTGTGTGTTCAGGAGTTTTTAGGGGGGCGAGAAGGGGAGTTGGGAGGATTTACACGTATTTATTACGTTATTAAATATTTTAATTAGTTAATAGGGTACTAATCAAACTAATTAATTTTTGGAAAAAATTCATATATAAGAATTTAACTATGACTCATTTCAAAACTAAGAAATAAAGTTTATAATTTCAAAAATAGAATGTTATTAAATTTTATTTATAAAACAATTAAGTTAGAAAAATATTTTATTAATTAAATATATTAAGATCACAAATCTATACAATTTGATGACAAATTATCGAATTTTCGATCACAAATAAAAAATTCTATAGATCACAAATTATTTCTCGATCACAAATTATTTTTCGATCACAAGTCAAAAAATTTTTAGGTCATAGATTATTCATTAGTTGCAAAATCAAATTTTTTATTGGTCACAACTGATTTATCGATCACAAATTATCAAATAATTTATCACAATTAATTTTTTGATAACAATTTAATAAATTGTGAGTTACAATCACATTTTTAGGTCATATATTATTTATTTGTTGCAAATAATGATGATAAAAAAAATTCGTTCAACCCGATACTCGCGGGCCCCACCCCGAATGAAGCGGGGATTACTTGTCTATTCGGGTAAACAGGGCGGGGACATGATGTGAGTCATTGTCTCGAAGCGGGTACGAGAAATATAGCTCCCGCCCGACTACCGCCCGTTTTAACTTAATTTCAAATTTAAACTTTTTATTAAATAAAAATAAAATATATATCATCGTTTTTAAAGAGAAAATAAGTTGTTCCTAATAAATTGGGGGAAAAAGTAATAATATTTACTAACTAAATATATAAAAAAATAAAAGCAAAAAATAAATGGAAACGGGGCAAGATGACAAAAATACTCAAACCCGTCCCGTTCCGCTTTAACCGGATATGGGATCGAGGCAAGATGGCAAAAATATCCAATAGGACGGAGGTAAGAATGGTCGACCTGTCTCATTTTTGTTCATAGTTACAAATTAACTAATTATTGGTCACAATCAACCAAATAATTGGTTACAAACACCCACATCCCATCCCATCTACTCACGACCACTGCCCGACGACCACCACTGCCTTACCAGACAATGCAAAACCACCACTAAAGCAACCACAACACACCACACTAATGCAAACCCACCACCACAGCTACGTAAAACCACTACTGCAATAACCATACCACCAC